ATTCTAGTAATAGAAGTGGCATATGCAAATATCTATCATACAGGATTCTAACAAGTATTTTAATATCCCTTGGATAGGAAGAGGACTACTGTATATGTCATCCTTCTCTAACTGCAACCAAACACTGGATACTTTTAAGTATAAATGTCAGTTGGCTGGGCCAAGTCATAAGGTCCAGTATGGGCTATTCCTTTAGGGAGAACCCTGTGTTGGTTGGTTGGTTAATTGGTTAGTTGAAAACCATAAATATGCATTTACAAGTCATAAAATTTTAGAGTTCATAAACATATAGATTTTCAAAAATTGCCAAGGTTCTTAAAGACCATCCATCACCTTCGTTTTAAAGTAGAAAAGTCTGAGACTCAATAATATGACTTTCCCGAGGTCATATAGCTAGTATGAGGACAGAAACAGGACTCAAACCCAGGTCTTTAGACTCAATGTTCAGGACTCATGCTGACTTTGCAATTACACATAGAGTTATGTATCCTTTCATTCCCAAAATAATTCTACTGTCTCAGGAAGCTAAAACTTCTGCAGGGAAGTTGGGAGGGAAGATGAGAGAAATAAAACTGTTGGCTTGAAAGCTGATCATCTGTCTAGCATAGATTCAGATCCTATGAGAGTATAGAATTAATTGTAGGTCTTGTTGTTCAGTCTTTCACTTGTGTCCAGTTCTTCATGACCTTAGCACATCATGCCTTTTTATCCTCCACTATCTCCAGAAGTTTGTCCAAATTCATATTCGTTGCTTCCATGATACTATCTATTCATCTCACCCTCTGCCATCCCCTTTTCCTTTTGCCTTTAATCTTTCCCAACATCAAGGTGTTTTCTAATGAGTCCTGTTTTCTAATGAGTCCTGTTTTATTATGTGGCCAAAGTATTTAAGCTTCAGCTTTTAGTATTTGACCTTCCAGTGAGTAGTGTGAACTAATTTCTTTAGATATTGATGGGTTTGATCCCCTTGCTGTCCAAGGAACTCTCAAAAGTTTTCTCTAGCACCATAATTCAAAAGTGCTCAGCTTTCCTTTATAGTCCAGCTCTTACAGCCATACACTGTTACTGGAAAAAAAACATAGCTTTGACTATACAGTACTTTGTAAGAAAGGTTGATGTCTCTGCTTTTTAGTATTCTGTCCAGATTTGCCATAGCTTTCCTTCAAAGGAACAGGCATCTTTTAATTTCATGGCTGCAGTCGCCATCTGCATTGATCTTTGAGCCCAAGAATATAAAATCTGACACGGCTTCCATTTCTTCTCCCTCTCTTTGCCAGGAATTGATGGGACCAGTTGCCAAGATGTTAGGCTTCAAGCCAGCTGTTATATTCTCCTCTTTCACCCACATCAAGAGTTTCTTAATTGTTCACTTTCTGCCATCAGAGTGGTATCATGTGCATATCCAAGATTATTGACATTTCTCCTGGCAATCTTAATTCCAGTTTTTTATTTGTCCAGTCTTATTATGAAATAAATAAGGTGACAATGTACAGTCTTCTTGTACTTCTTTCCAGTGTTAAGCCAATAAGTTGTTACATATACAGTTCCAAACTTTGCTTCTTGGCCTGCGTACAGGTTCTTCAGGAGACAAAGTAAGCTGATCTGGTATGCCTATCTCTTTGAGAGATACCCTATTCTAAAATTTCAGCCTCAGGGATCTTTGCTACTGTCCTATGACTAGAGAGTAGGCTGACAGTCTTTCCTAATAGCTTCACTGGTTGACATATTCTTGTATGTGACACATCAGGATATTTTATATCCTCTGAGGAACATCAGATGATTATATAACCAACTGTATAGGTGGCATAGTGAATAGAGCACTGGGCTGGGAATCAGGAAGACTCATGTTCATGAGTTCAGATCCTGCCTCAAGCATTTACTAGCTGTGTAACCCTAGGAAGTCAGTTCACCCTGTTTACCTCAGTTTCCTCATCTGTAAAATGAGCTGGAGAAGGGAATGGCAAACCACCCCAATATCTTTGCTAAGAAAACCAGAAATAGTGTCATGGAGAGTTGGACAGGACTGAAACAACTCAACAACAATGAAATTTCAAGTTATTTTATTTGTGTATTATATAAAATGAATAAATTCACTTAAGTCGGTCAGGCAATAATCATTTATTAAGTACCTTCTATGTGCTAAGTACTAGGGATACAGAAAGAGATAAGACAGTCCTTGCCTTCAAGGAGCTCATAGTTTAATGGAGGAGGCAACAAGCAAACAAGTATGTACAAGCAAGCTATATACAATATCAATAGGAAATAATTGAGAGGGGAAAGGATTACCAGGATTAAGAGGGATTAGGAAAGGCTTCCTATAGAAGGTAGGATTTATTTGGGACCTAGAGAGACCTAGGGAAGCTAGGAAGCAGAGATGAGAAGAGAGCATCCCTGATGTGGGGAACAGCCAATGAAAATGCCCAGAGCCAAGAGATAGTTTCTTGTTCATGGAACAATAAGGAGGCCAGTATCTCTGGATTTAAAATTACATGATGGAGAGTAAGGTGTAAGAAGACCTGAAAGGGGTTGAGGGTTGGGCCTAGTTTATGATGGGCTTTGAGGGTCAACCAGAGCATTTTGTATTTGATGTTGGAGCAGGGAAATGATATGATCAGATTCTGTACCTTAGGAAAATCACTTTAACGGCTGACAGGATTGGAGTTGGGAGAAACTTGTGGCAGGCAGGTCCACTAGCCAGCTATTGAATAGTCAACCTTGAGGTGTTGGGGTCCTACACCAGGGAGTGGCAGTATCAGAGGAGTGTATTAGAGAGATGTTGCAAAGGTGAAATCCACAGACCTTGGCAACATTGAATATAGCAAAGGGAGGAGGTAAGTGTTAGTGAGTTGAGGATGACACCTAGGTTGTGAGCCTGGGGCACTAGGGGGATGATGGTGCCCTTGACAGTAATAGGTTTAATTTAGACTGGCATGAACATAAAACTAGTCATTTTTTGGAAAGTCAGACATACGAAGCATACCAAATACATTTTCATTGTATTTTCCAAGCATTCTGCATTTAGAAATGCAAACTGCTATAATGGTTGTAATATCATTGCCCAAGGCTAAAACATCAATTAAAGGTTTTACTGATCATGCTTATTAAAGGGGAAACCATAAACCTGCATTCTTCAATGTGTAAAAACATAATAATCTAATAGATCTAAGAACAAGTTAATTCTAGAATCATTAAGACTATCCTAATCTGAAAGTTTTAGTGGTAAAGTGAATTTCTTAGGCAATATTGCTGATCTGATGTAAGCTTTTTCCCCCAATGATTTTGAACAGTGTCATAATGAATATTCACAGAAATTTCAGTCTCTTAAAAGATTCATTTTTACATCTTTGGTTTTTGCTGATTCTTCTGTTACAAAGAAAGAAAAAGATCATCTGTGATAACTTGTCTTAAGCTTTCATTCTACTGTTTTGATTCAATGTTATTTCATAGTATTTTTGGCCAAATATTTTCATTGTATGCAACTTGGCTGAAATTTTCAGGTCTTGGTGATTCAGGTCTCTGTTACAAATATCCCCTTTCCCATTTACCTCCAATTAATCAGAATCCAGAAGGTTGGAAAATGGCAAAAACTCCAAATGATCAGACCAGAGAACTATAGCCTTAGGGGCTCTAAGTGACCTGATTCAGAACCACTCTGTGACTCTCAAAATTCAACAATTATCCATAATTGCCTGTTATGTACAATCAAAGCTGTCACAACTGTATGCTGGAATTGTGTACCTAAAAATAGCAGAATGGAGCTTGGTTATTTTTAGCTAAATAGCTCCAGCAAACAGCAGAGAAGAGTTGTCCTTCTGCAAAGGTGTCCTCTCCAAATTAGCAGTGCCTTCTGGACCTTCACCTTCCATTGTTGCCAAGACAATGGCAGTAATGTGAGGTCTGAGCTGACCTGTCTGAGAGAGAATGCCCACGTTTTAAACACTATTTTCAGGAACCCATGATTGACCAACCTATGATTTACATTACCACACTACATAATAGGGAAAGATCAATCAGCAAGCATTTATTCAATACTTACTGTGGACCAGGCACTGTGCTAGGTGCTGAGGATATAAATACAAAGAACAAAACAATCCGTTCTCACAGGGAACTCACATTCCAATGGTGAAGACAACAAGCACATACATAAAATATATATGGAAGAAATGGGACTAGGGATGAGTGGACTTGTGATTTTATTCACATGTAGGTAACTCCTAGGTAGGGAGTCATTCACAGTTCAGATCTGCACCTATTCTGAAACTTACAGTCTTAGATAGTTGTGTAGATTACTGAGAAATTAAGTGACTTGCCCAAGATCACAGAATCATTATGTTTAAGAAGTAAAACTTGAACACAGCTTTGCCAGGCTGCAGGCAGCTCTCTATCCACTATACCACACTGCCTCTTGCTAAATAAGCCTAAAGTGAATAAATACAAATAAATGCAAAGTAGTTAAATGTTTGAGATGATGAACACTACCTTTTGGAAGGGATGAGACAGAAAGGGGAGATCAGGAAAGGCTATATGAAAAAGGCGATACTTGAACTTTGTCTGAAGGAAGAAAAAGAATCTGTAGCAGAGTTGAGGGGCAATGCATTTTAGGTATGTCAGTAGCAAATGCAAAGGCATGGACATGGGAAAGAGTAGTTTATGTGAGGAACAAAGAGAAGGCCACTGTGATTGATTGGATGATAACAGAGTGCAGATTGGAGACTTAATATCCAGTGATCCTGGAAGGCTAGATTGGGAACACATTGAGAAGAGCTCCAAAAACTAAACAGATTATATTTTGCCCTAAAGGAAATAGGGAACCATTAAAGTTGATTGAATAGGAGAGTGACTTGGACAGATCTACATTTAAGGAAGATCACATTGGCAGTGGTTTGTAGGATGGAACAGAGAGGAGATGAATATAATTATAATAATGTCAAATTATTTGTGTCACAGATTTCATATCTACTTCTCTTGAGAAATTAATGAGCAACTGTATTTTATTTCAGCAACAGGAACAAGATCCTACAAATCTGTATATTTCTAATTTGCCGCTGTCCATGGATGAGCAAGAACTTGAAAACATGCTCAAGCCATTTGGACAAGTAATCTCTACAAGGATATTGCGTGATTCCAGTGGTACAAGTCGTGGTGTTGGCTTTGCCAGGTATGTTGTTTGTTTTCTGTATGTTTCATTGTTATATCTGCTGTTTTATGTACCTTGTTAGATGTTTCAAAGGAATAACTAGAAAAACACTAGGGAAAAAAAGGGGGGGAGAAGCAGTGGGGCACTGATGTTGACTTTAAAGTGTTTTTGTATGTTTTCAGATATTTAAAATTTTTCCAACAAGACTTTTAAATCTGAGAAGGCAAAGTGTTTTGGAGGCCACACTGGGGAAAAGTTTCCTAGAAGAAATTGTATCAGTTACAAAGATAGTCATCATGAACACACATACACACCCATTTCAGATAATTTTTTTTCCTATTTAGTGGATAGAAATTTGTCAACAGTAATAATAGCTGACCTTTATGTAGCATTTTAAAGTTAGCAAAGCAGTTTGCATGCGAGTTTCATTTAAGCTTCTCAGCAACCTTGTAGTACTGCAAGTATGAATGAACCCATTCTAAAGAGGTAGAAATTGATGCTCAGAGTGGTCAAGTGACTTCATCATGTTTACACAGATAGGAAGTCCAGAGGTGGGTTTTGAACCCAGACCTACAAGTCCAGCACTTCATCCGCTATGCCTTGTTGCTTCTCATTTACCTTTTTATAAAACATTTGATACTTGCCAGGTGTGCTGCCACAACCCTATAATTCCTGCTGCTGTGGAAAGTGAGATTAGTCTGTGCTTGAGCTCAGGAGTGCTGGGCTGCAGTGGGGTAAAGCTAATCAGGTGTCTCCACTAAGTTTGTCACCACTGGGAAGGGTGAGGGTACCATTTCACTGAGAGGTGAGCCCGATTTGGAAAGGAGCAGGTCAAAGCTCCCATGCTAATCAGTAATGGGCTGGAACCCATGAGTGTTCGCTGCATTTCCAGTCTGGGGAAAATAAGGAGACTGAGTCTCAATAAAATAAAGCAAAGTAAAATAAGTAAAAAAAAAACTGATTCCTTATGATGAAAATGTAAATTGAATTCTTAAGAAAAATTAAGATGAGAAATTTGACTTTTTACATCGTTAAGCCCAAATATAACTTTCTGTGATGTGTAAGAAAATACTAAAGCTGCCTATTAATGTTATCAGACAGTGAATAAGGTCTCCATTTTTTGGAATACTCATTTCATTGTTGGGGAGGAGCCTAGTACTTAAGTTATTGGGAACTGAGATGGGATGAGTATAGATTCATTAGCTCACTTTATTTTAGCGCATGGTTCAGAAAAGTTATTACAGCATTATCAAGGAATCAGAAAAAAAATTTGGATGTGCCCCATCGATTCACTGACACTGTAGAGAAACAACCAACACTTTGATGGGGCTAGCAGAACCTATACCAAAGGATCCTTTGGGACTTGGAGGAGCTTTAATTTTGGTCAGTGCACTTAATCCCTCTACTGATGCAGGTAGACCTCCAGATGTAACTTAATAGATGACCTTCCAGAATTGTTGTGGCTGCTCAATTCGTCATCCTGTGGCCAAACTGGTAACGAGTCCACGTGAACTTAGTTTCACTAAGGGTGATTACAGAAACCAAAAGTTCTCCCTGTGTGGTCTGTGGACTGCTGGGGGTTCCCAAGACCCTTTTGGAAGTCTGTGGGATCAAAACTATTTCTGTAATTATACTAAAATGTTATTTGCTTATTAAAATAATCCCCCCTTTTCTAACTTTGTATCTGTAAGCTAGCCTTCTTCATATATAATATAAACTCAGTGCAACAGATTGAATAAAGAAGCCATATGAGAATTCATCTCTTCTCCATTAATCAAAACATTAAAGAGATTTGCAAAAATAATGCCACTTTCTCACTAGTTTTTAAGAAAAGGGATTTTTTTATTTAAAAAGTTGTTATAATGGATTTGTTACTGTTATTCTAAATTAATACATTTAAAAAATGTTTAATATGATGAATATTGATAGATATAACCTACATGATAAATAAAAGCTCTCTGGGGTCCCCAAGTATAAAAGGATTCTGAGAATAAAAAGTCTGAAAACAACTGATAACCAATTTTCAACACATACCAATTTTCAAAGAATTCTAATACAATGAATATAATTAATGCTAAAAGTACACTCGATATAAATTAATATTTATTATTTTAAAGGTGCATTGGGCTCATCAGTTGGAAATAGCAATTATTTTTATATGTGTGCATGAACATTAATTTAATAGGCTTTAATATTATAAACTACCAAATAAACCAGCTTTTGTTATATTAGAGTTACATTTTACCAGGGTATGCCTACTTATACTTAATGGCATTCACATATGCACAAAACAAAATGAAAAATAAAAAGATATCTAAGTATTTATGTGTTTTTGTATTTATATATCAATAGGATGGAATCAACAGAAAAATGTGAAGCTGTTATTGGTCATTTTAATGGAAAATTCATTAAGACACCCCCAGGAGTTTCTGGTATGTTAACCTAAAATTTTATCAGCAACATCTTTCATACTTCCATACATTTCCTTGATTTAGAGTCTTCTGTATGCAATACATTAAGTAAATTTAGGTACATATTTTTAAAGTTGCTTGTTTTGAACTATCAGATTTTTTTTTAAAAATCCAATTATTAGATCTGTTTTATTAGTGAAAGTATACCCTAGTATTATCATATTTCTTCTTATTTTCGTTCCTTATTACCGCCAACATGGTGCCCTGTATAATACATGGAACCTTGCACAGTGGATAGAGCAAAGGACTGGGGTCAGGAAAACCTGAATTAAAATCCTGCAGCAGACACTAGCTGTGTTACTCTAGGGACATCAATTAACCTTTATGTGCCTCAGTTTCTTCATCTGTAAAATGACAAGAATAGCACCTACCTCACAAAATTTTTGTAAGGATCAAATGAATTCATGTATATAAAGTGCTCGATATGTATATGCTAGCTATTACAATCCCACTTGAGAGTTTTTATTTAACTAATGGGAAGAAAGTTCAAAGATCATCTTCATTGCATATTTTGATGGCAACTGTCATGCTGTTGTTATTCAAGGGTCCTAAAATGGTTCTATTTTTCCTTAATTTCTGTCTCCTTACTGTTCAGTGTGAAATATTGATTCTCAGGATTTGCTTATAACTTTCTTCATACAGCTGACTGGGTCTTTATCAATTGTCATACATGTCACTGTCAAATATACTAATAGTAACCATTTAGCAGATTCCTTTTGCCCCTACCCAGGTATCTTCAATAAGAATGTAATACCTCTACTGAGCACATCTTGTGTATCTGCTAGTATGAGTAGGCCTGAGTAATATTAAATGCATTTTTAAAAAAAACTCTTATAGTATTTAAAGGGTCCTATTTCCATTTTTGGTAAAGGATATAGGGAGCCATTGAACTCTACTGAAGAAAAGAGATTCAAATTAATTTGGGCCAAAAGTTATTGAAGTGAGCAGGCATTCCAAGGATATTCATGTGCATTTGTTTTTCAGGGTTTATTTTGTTAACTCTCCAAGGCTCAGTTCCAGCTGAATTATCAGTGGCTGGAGTTAGGAATCCACGTTAGGAATTTCACTATCCCAATGAGTTTCATTTCAGAAAGAAAATAATTTATGAATATCTAAGTGACACAGACCACTCTTGGCCAGGAAGCTCTGAAGTTTGATAGCTACTGCAACGTGTACTTCGTGATCCACTATGTTGAACTCTGTGGCTACAGGCACAAGTCTAAAGTATAATTTTTCTAAAAACATTTAAAAAAATAAAGTGTTTACCAGTATATAATAATTTCATTGAACACTGTCATAAAATAGCTTTAATTAATAAATGAATAAAGAAAGTCAACCATAAGCATATTTCCCCATCAACAGTGATTGTATTTAAAGTAAGAAAATAAAAATTTGGTTTTGCATATTTTGAAATTAGCCAACCAAGGTTCAGTAACAGAAGAGTATCAAGGCCAGGGTTGTAAAACTGGAAGCTTTTTCAAAATATGCCAAGGTCCTCAGCTATACAAATTTGAAAACTAAAACTAAATTGAAACTCTCCTTTATCAAAGCAGTAGGTAGCACACAGTAGGCATTTAATAAATGCTTATTGTGATCTGTTGTATTTATTGATGCACACAAAGTAGCACACAGTAGGCATTTTAATAAATGCTTGTTGATCTGTTGTGTTTATTGACACACCTGCAATACTCTTCCTAAGTCTGCTCTTTGCTGATGTAATTTCCTTGTTCTTTAACTTTCTCCTCTTACTCTTAATGTTCATGGAGCTAGAAGAGTTTTAGAGGAGGTGACTTGAATCATGTGCTGTTTTGTTTTGTTTTTGCAAGGCAATGGGGTTACATGACTTGCCTAAGGTCACACTGCTAATAAGTGGCAAATGTCTGAGGCTAGATTTGAATTCACGTCCTCCTAACTGCAGGGCCAGTGTTCTATCCGCTGTGCCACTTCGCTGCCCCCTCCCTTTTTTAATTGAATCATGTTTTATATCACAATGAGAGGACAGTTAGTTGTCTTGCTGTCTGAGTAGAGTGAGCAGTGACTAGTTGGGTCCAGGGATAGGATGAAGAAACTGGACAGCTTCCCATTCTTCCCTAAATCATGTCTTCACAGTGCCATTTTATTGTTTGTTAGAAACTAATTGCTCTAATATCAGTTAGAAGCATTTTAAAACATAAGCATAAAAACACATTAATTTCAAAACCTGATGTAAATTACGTCTGGATTATTGACACCAGTGCATATAGTAAATTATATTATTATTCTGAGTTTCCCAAGAAGCAGATTAATAGCAAGTACACCAAAAGCATTTCAACGGCAATAACTATGTTTTGTAAATAGTCAAGCCATTCTCTCACCTCTGAACTCGTACAGACTGTTATGGTCTGCACCAAACGATTTAGTTCTTAAATGCATACTGCTTTGCAACGCAGACAATCTGTTCATATGTTTTAGTATTGTCTCCTCAATTTGAATGTAAGCTACTTAAAGGTAAGAAACCTGTAACTGCTTTTCTATCCCTAGAGTGGTTATAGCACACTATTAAACACATAAGGGATATTTGATAAATGTTTGTTGATTAATGGATAGATTAACTTGAAATCTTCCATATACTCTACTAGTTAAAATTCCAAAGTTGTCTTCAGCCTGCAGAACATACTATAATAATCTAACCTGGAGGTCATGGAATCATACATAATTAGAAGGTCCTTTTAGTAACTTCCATTTTTCTCCACCCGAAACAAGCACTTTGTGTCCCCATGGATTCCTTATGGTCTAAAAAGCACAAAAAGAAAAAAATAATAATTGCATGTCTTGCTTCTCCCTTCAATATTGTTTCTTCTTAACTGCTGCATTCTGGAATTTAATTTTGCAAGTCCCATTATTGCTGTTAGCGTACCTCATGTTATGTGAATGTTTAGTGTTCACACAAGTCAGCTACAATTTCTCTGGGCCTGAAGAAATTTAAGAAATGTAGGTAGTTGTTCCCCTGAGAATTCAGTTAAAAAAAAAGACACATGATATTGTTTGGTAAACCTGCATTTTAAAATAAAAGAATACTTGATGCAGATCTGCTGCTAAGTATACTGTATTTCAGAATCTCAGAAGATCTATGATTTCATCCACATAGGGTCTCACAGAGGTCACTAGACCTCTACTAGAAGTCTATACAGCTTGGTGAGACTTGACGAAGGTTGTGCTCTGCTTTTTTTTGCACCACGACGAGGCGTTGCTGTAGGCCTTTAGATGAAAGAAGGAAACAAGCGTTTGTTAAATGCTTACTATGTGCCAGGATCTATGCCAAGCACTTGACAAAAATCTCATTTGATCTTCACTGTAATCCTGGGAAGTAGGTGCTATTATTTACAGTCTTACAAAGGGAAAGAGGTTAAGTGACTTGCCTGGGGTCACACAGCTAGTGAGGATCTGAAATTGGATTTGAACTTGGATCTTTCTAACTCCAAACCCAGAGCTATCTGTCTACTCTGCCACCTAGCTGCTGTAAGAGGAATACCCTAATTCCACAAATAACATCTTCTGCAGATCTCATCCATGTCACATTTTTACCACGGGTAAAATAATTTGGTAGCTTACTGTAAGTTTGTATCTTTAGCCTAAAACCAAATACTGTTTATGTCCATTTCTGTGGTATCTATATTGTTGCTGATCTACTAAGGATGTAATTAAATGAAGGGAAGAAAAATACTTGAATTTAGTGGTATTCCCAGTCCCCAAAAAGACTACTGCAAATGAAAAAGTTTAAAACTAAATTATCTTATGCCTCATACTCTTAAACTATATCGTAAATGTCTAAGATGTGAGCCCAGTTGCTTAGGTCCTTGAATTTTCCATTTTTCTTCATTGGCCACCCCCTCTTCAGACAAGCAGCCAATCAACAAACATTTGTTAAAGTGCTTAATTTAATAAAATGCTAAATGCTAGCAATAGAAAAACAAGAGTGAAACAAAATGAAAGCTTATTGAGTGTAGAAACCTCTGGGGGAGATGTGTACATATACAGATATATGCATGTAGAATGACGACAAAGTAACCATGAATGAGAAAAGGCAACCCTGGAGGGTTGGAGGTAAGAATGAGACAAGGCAGAAGGAACTGCACTACTGGAGGTTGGTGCTTGAGCTGACTCCTAAAGGAAACCAGAGAGTCCAAGAGGTGGAGTTGAGGAGGCAGAATATTCCAATCATGGGAGCCAGAAAGTGTGCAGAGGCATACAGATGGGCAATGAAGGTTAGTGCAAGAACAGCAAATAGATCAGTTTGGCTAGACAAAATAGAGTGCATAAAGGGAAGTAGTACCTGAAAAGACTGAAGAAGAGTCAAGGAGTAAAGAGCTTTCAATGTCAAATAGAGAAGTTTCTGTTTCATCATAGAGGTGTTCAGAGCCATTGGCATTCATGAGTATGATGGTGGCAAGGGCGAACCTGCCCTTCAGGGAAACCTTCTCCCCATCCTAGTCAAACTTCTTTGTCATGCTAGAGCAGGAAGCTCCTAGTGAAAGTATATTGCTCACATCCCTTTCTTGGCTTTTGACTGAATGGATGCTATTGGTAAATTGTTTTCTGATGTAAACTTAATATTCTATATGTCCACATATGTGTACATATACCTAATAATACATAATACAATAATACATAATTTTTAAAAGTCTTAAAGCGGTTTGTAAGTGACTTGCGGTGTGATGTAAGCTTTTTCTAAAGTAGGTTTAACTATGGCCTGTAGCAAGTTTTTCTTCAAAGTCATATTCGTATTGCTTGTTGACAAAGTAGATCATATAGTAGGAGCCTTATGCTTCCCACCCTCTATTCCTTCAAAATAAAGTCCACATTTTTTTCACATGTTGAAACATTTTTCTATACCAAGGATTTACTACAATTTAACTGCTGGTTAGCTTGCAGTAAAAGTCAGACTTACTTTGAAATCCTTAAACAGAATACAAAAAAAGCTA